CTTTCGAGCTTGGCTCACACAGCAGCAGCAGAAAGGCATCAAGGGGAGGTCAGGCTGGGGAAAGGTGCTGCAGACGCCGAGGTAGCTGTGGAACTCAGGGTGTTAATCACTTTCACTCAGGCACCGCTGCTCTGGCTGCTGCAGGCTCCCCCCTTGCTGCCGGCAGAGGGTCCATGCAGCAAACCAGCAGGAAAAAGAATGGTCAGGAGAGAGCATAAGAAAGAAACATATCCTTTCTCAGACAGGAGCTTTTATTTCCACCCTGGTCCACAGCTTCAAAGGGCAGCTGCCTCACAAGGAGAATGTTTGACCAAATTCAGTTTGCATGTTTGAAATAAGAAGACCGCTTTCTTGATCTCTGAAACTGAGTCCTAGAAGGCCCCGTTCCCAGCATCCTTGCCGTCCCCTTCCCCTCCTACCCCGTCAGCTTGCTCCAGCTGTGCTGGTTGACCCTCGGGGAAGGGAGGTGTGGCCAAGAAACTACAGACCTGTCCTCCACTTGGACAATTTTGCAAACCTTTGTATAAGGACAGATTGCACAAGGCCGCATGGGTGAGGTGGAGGGAAGAAAAAGGGAAGAGCATCTTCTGCTTATGGCCGGTACCCTGTTATTCATTGGCTTGGGTGTTTCAGCTGAGTTTTGTGGATTAGGAGGCCAAGTCATGTCAGCACAAGAAACCTCCTGGGTCTCTGTCACATGTGCTACCCCACCTCTTCCCCACAGCCCAGACCATTCCTTTCAGAGAACCCTCCCTGTTTCGCGCTTTCACAGAGCGAAGCTGTTCTGAGTCTTGGGGTCACACCCAACTCACACATCCCAGCAGAAGCTGAGGAGAGGTCTGGGGTCCTTCTCTGTGGCCTCCATCTTCAGCCCCGCCCCTGCTTCCGCAGACGGGCATGAAGCAGGGCTCACAGTAAGAGTTGGTGCTGGCGTCTGGCTGTGGCAGAGCTTCCGTCCTGCCGAATTGGCTCAGGGGAGGGATGCTGGGCAAACGAAAGCTGGGGCGGCTGTGTAATGTGGGAGATGGCGAGGGCCATGTTCCCAAACTGTAAGTCATGATGACACTGTTAAAAAGGGCTGGTGGGTGGGGGAAAGTGAAAGAAAAAGAACAGGGGGAACAGAAACCAAAGTGAGGCACACAGAAGGGTCGAACAAGAGTAATGGCCAATGCACGAACAGAGGCCAGGAAATGGGACAGGCCTGCAAGAGAATCAGGGAAAAGCAGGATAAGACTGTGGGTAGGAGGAGAGAGATTAAACCAAGGAAAACACAATGAGACATGAACGGGAGATGTGATTGTTTGCTGGAGGAAATGGCAGGTAATTTGCCAACACATACACCAACAGAGGGTGTTGGAGGCCTAGTCCAAGGACGCCCCTGGGTGTATCACCTTCAAAGCCCCAAATACAGGACAGATCAGCCCTGACAATGAAATCTACGTCTCTGCTTGCTTAAGGCCTAGTGAGACGCTTAGGAGAAAAGAAAGAGGCTGTAAGCAGAGGGAAAGGATCAGGGAGATCCATAGATGCAGTCACAGCCCTTCCACAAGTTAATCCCCAGGCAGACCTGCCCACGGTCTTGCAGGTGATGCAAAGAAATAGAAGCGATGGCTTTTGGCCTCAAGAAATTCACAATCTGAGAGACAAGATGTACATATGCGAAGGGACAAGATGTACATATGCGAAGCAATAAATACCAGCAATATTAGGGGACTGCTCAGGTGAACACAGTAAAGAATATTGGTTGAAAGAAACAAAGAATGAATTAAGATAAAGAAATGAACTACAGGGCTCCCCTGGTGGCACAGTGGTTGAGAGTCCGCCTGCCGATGCAGGGGACACGGGTTCGTGCCCCGGTTTGGGAGGATCCAACATGCCGCGGAGCGGCTGGGCCCGTGAGCCATGGCCACTGAGCCTGCGCGTCTGGAGCCTGTGCTCCACAATGGGAGAGGCCACAACAGTGAGAGGCCCGCGTACCGCAAAAAAAAAAAGAAATGAACTACAGAAAGGCTTTCTTGACAATGTTCTCATGTGGAAATTTTTTTAAATGCAGGAATTAAGTGAAATGATGTTGGCTGAACTGGATGAAACATTTAAAACTGGGCCAAGAAGGTGACCTGGGCTTGACTACAGCATAGCACAGGCTCCGAATCAAAGCAAAGAACAGGAGGCATAACTGCCCAATCTGGTCTCCCAGGTGAGTTGGATCCACATAACATGAAATTCAGTTCAATATTCAACATTCAACAGACTGAGATCAAGATCAAATGAATAACTGAGGTTGGGGGGAGACCCAGTAGGTAGGTTGTATACGTGTGAGTCAAAGAGGCAAGGTCATTTAACTTGCGATTGAGAAAAAAGGATAGTGAAGGTAATGATAATTACAGCAACAAACATTCATCGAGTGAAAACTATGTGCCAGGTGCTGGTGTAAACACTTTACATGCATTCGTTTACATGATCCTCACTACCGCCCATGAGGGATTTTATTATTATTATTATTTGCATTTTATATGTGAGGAAACACAGAGAGATCGAGCAATTACACAGCAGAGGTTAGCCCAGGACTCTAATTAAATTCCACAACACTCTCTCTCTGAAGCCATCAATGTCTCTGCTTCCTCATCTGTAAACATTTGTTATCTAACCTGCCTATAGAGACTCTGTAGATGATAAAGCCTCTGTGAGGAGACTGGCTGTGGTGTCATTATGAGAGTATTAGCATTAATAGGAAGGCCATGCTTTTTCCAGGAATGCTAAATATATGCTCACTTTTTCATGTTAATACCACAAGGCCTTGAAGAAGTTTACAGAGGCTCATGAAGTGGATGGACCTAGAGTCTGTCATACAGAGTGAAGTAAGTCAGAAAGAGAAAGACAAATACCGTATGCTAACACATATATATGGAATCTACAAAAAAAAAAAATGTCATGAAGAACCTAGGGGCAAGACGGGAATAAAGACACAGACCTACTAGAGAATGGACTTGAGGATATGGGGAGGGGAAGGGTAAGCTGGGACGAAGTGAGAGAGTGGCATGGACATATATACACTACCAAACGTAAAATAGATAGCTAGTGGGAAGCAGCCCCATAGCACAGGGAGATCAGCTCGGTGCTTTGTGACCACCTGGAGGGGTGGGACAGGGAGGGTGGGAGGGAGGGAGATGCAAGAGGGAAGAGATATGGGAACATATGTATATGTATAACTGATTCACTTTGTTATAAAGCAGAAACTAACACACCATTGTAAAGCAATTATACTTCAATAAAGATGTAAAGAAAAATAAAATAAAATAAAACCCTCTCCTCTGGGTTCACAGTAGACATTAGTGCCAAGCGAATCTTCTCTCAAAAGGTGAAAGGTCTCTTTCTGACACCCCTTTACAATTCTTATAATGTTTGGGGGCTGGGACTCTTGTTTCTTATGAAAAGGTTTCCCACTGAGAAGAGCAGCTTACAGGAGCCTCTCCCACAAGGCCCAACCAGAGGACCACGCCATCTTAGAAATAGGGTTTTGAGCCTGAGAGGCAGCAGATAGAGAAACAGATAGCAAATACATCTGTTTTTACAAGAGCCTGTTGTTCTCTGTACTAACTGCTATAAAAACGACATGAAACTAGCCACACATTAGTTTTGGTTCTCGTGACTAAATCAAGGAATGGCATGATGGTGCTGTGTCATTAGAAATGAAACCAGTTCTTAAACAAGAGAATAGGGCCGACATTTTAGTAACCTGAACGATTTCATAGAAAAATCAAAGCTGAAACTTCAACACCCCATCCCTGAACACCTGCTGCTTAAGTTTGGTTCTGAACCAGTGAAACTTCTTTCTTGCCATGAAGACACGAGATGGGCCCTGACTTGCCCAACACTCGGTGGCCAGGAAAGCCTTCCTTCCACCTGCCGTCCTACTAGGCTGAAACGTGGGCTCAGTCTTGGCTTCTACAGGACTGACTGTAATTGCCACTTTGAGAAAATACAAAAAGTAACTCATTTTGTTTTTACTTTTTCAAATATATAACCTGATATATTTTGAGAGATATATATATATATATATGACATAATTAGATATATGAATTTTACCCTCCCTGAGGTATTTTCATCCCCATCTTTTCAGATAAAGAAACTGAGACCTGAAGAGGTTAAGTCACTCACCTAGAAGCAGGCAGAACTGGGGTTCTGAACAAAGGTTTCCTTATCTATATCTGCACTGCCTCCAGTTTGGCCTTTATCACGATAATAATGATGTTGATGTAGTAAACATACATAGGTTGCCTCCCTAGCGTCCCTCTCCTCCCTTTTCCTGCCACAGCACCCACATTTTGCCTTGAGGGAACCACCCATGCCCTCACTGTCTCCCCCTTCTCTAACAGCTGGATACATCCAGCTCCCAGGGGTAGCCCTGATGTGCTTAAGCCAGAGAGTATCCATCACCTGGCCATGGTGATTGGCTCAGGCGTGGGCACACAGCCCGATTCAGGCCAGTGGGATTTGAGGAAATGTTTCCTAGGGCTTCTGGAAAAAAAGCTTCCTCAGCCCTCTGTGGGTTTACCAGAGGGGACAATCCCCCTTCTCCTGGATGGTGTATTGGAGAATACAAGGTTCAAAATTCCCTCAGCCATTTGTGCCACCAAGAGAAGTGCCAGCCTGAGGATGAAGCCGACACACAGGAGAGGCAGTGCTCTAAACAAAACGGACATGGAGCTGGTATCGTGAGGAAGATTTAAATTCTAGACTGCGTGCTGGAGTTCTCAGGCCATAAACTAACACAATCCCTTTGTTTGCCTAAGCCAGTTTGAGTTTGTTATTCTGCCATATGAAAATTCTTAACCAATGCAAACACCACTGGCATCACTCCCAGTAGCATCTGATGGTTGCTTTCGTTTCTCAGTCAAGAGCATGAAACCCATCTGACCAAAAGGACCAACCCTTCAAAATTAATCAGCATTTCTGGAGCACGCCCATCTCTGGGGCCCGACTTTCCAGAGAGGACTCACATTTTTCTGTTCCTGGGGTCTGGCTCCTCCTGTTTTCTGCTCCATGTTGGCTCTGTCTAGGCCTGTCCTTGTCCCAGTCCCTCCACAGTGACAGGAGGTGGCTGCCCTCCGCTGAGGAAGCCAGTGGCCAAGTGGGCAGCCAGCTGCAGACCTCAGGCATCAGCACTGTCAAGAAAAGGAGTATCAAGAAAGGATTTGGCCACAGTATATTTTAATAAGACATAAAATCGGGTGGGAGAAGGGTCTTTGGCACATAGCTATACACGATTACCCTCGGCCCCCAGCCAGCTCCCTGTCAGAATGCTAAAACACCAGGAAGTTTGGTGCCCCTCTGAGGATCTTTATTTGCTAGTGATTGGCGCTCACAGAATTTCAGAGATTTGGTATCAAAGATTATAAAATCTGTGGGTCTGAAAATCTGTGCTAAGAACTGTTTTTTGTGATTCTACTCAATCTCAGTTTCTCTTGAAAAATTCTGTTATTTCCACTTCTGGCCACTATGACTAAGCACAGAGGTAGAAACACAGCCTAAACAGTTAAAGGATCCTGTAACTGCCCAAAGCAGAGAAAGAAAGCAAATGTCAGCACTGGCGGGGTGCAGTGTGTGAGGGAGGGCTCTCACTCTGCCCAGACCCAATCTATCAGCAAGACTTGCCAGTTTCCAAACATGTCTTGACTCAACCACTTCTCTCCGTCTTTACTACAATCATGTAACTTATTCATTCAACACGTATACACTGAAGGTCTTCTGTGTTCCAGGCATTGTTCTAGTGGCTGGGAGTACAAGACTGACAATGGAATGTGAACGCATGTCCTAGTGACTCTTCTTGCTTGGGCCTCCCTCTGTACGACCCTTCTCGCTGACTGGCTCCGGCTTCCTCATTTGCCCTCTCCTTCCATTCTCCACATAGGAGCCTAAAAGATCTTCTTAAATATCAACACTTCCCCATTTGAAACCCTCCAATGACTTCCCATTGCTCCTTAATGAAAATACCGAGGCTTCCTGGGCCTTGGCCCTGTTCGAGGGCTGCGCACCTCCCTACATTTACAGCCTTTTCTCACACCCTAGGCTCACTCCCCAGTCACACTGGCCTCCTTTCAGATCCTCAAGTATGTTACAGCTTTTTCTCTTTTCAGAGCTTTCAATCTGCCTTTATTTCCTCCTAAAACAGTTGCTTTCAACTTGTTTCTTTGACAATACTCCCCTGTAAGAAATATTTTATACCATGAACCAGTAAATACATCAACCTATAAATAAAGGCAACATTAGTTTTACATGATAATACTTCTGGTATGTTCTGTTTTTTTTTTAAAAAGCTAGCCATGACCCACTAACCTGCAGTTTGAAAACACTCCTCCCTCTACTCTTTGAATGGTTGAATCATTCTCATCTACTTTCTATCTAAATGTTAGCTACCCATGGGGGGCTTCTCTGGCCACCTGATGCAACCCAGGTCCCTGACAGGTTATTTTTCATCTGAGGGCCATGTCCCTTCCCTTTGAAGCACGTATCAAAGTTATAATTACGTATTTCTTTGTTGAGACTTGCTCATTGTCTGTCTCGTAGGCCACATCACTAGCTTTTAAAGGCAGGGACTTGTATGCTCTGTTCCCCACTGTATATCCCACATCTGGTTCAATGATCAGCATGAGAGAAGAATATACCTACGTATTCCTTGACAGGCTGACTGAGTGGGTGGGTAAGTGATGCTGAGGTCTGGACTGAAAAACAGGCCTCCCCAATAAAAGGAACCGGGGTTCCTTGGAGAAATGGCTGATTCTAAGGCTGGGGCAGGAAATATACAGTAGTGCCAGAAAGTAAAGAAATACTCAAAAAACAAAAGGATGGGGCATGTCAAAGGGACACAGGAGCCAACCTAAAAAGAACTCCCAATGGCCAAAATCGGAACAATTTGAGCAGCAAAATAAATAGCCTAGTATCAGATTATAACCCAAATCTTTACATAAATATGCATGAGAGTCCATACTGATATAAGTGGTTGACTAAATAAATAAATGAAGAGGGGGAGAATTACATCTTTCTTACAGAAGAATTTAAATGATGTACATAAATACTACCCTCCAGGAGGTGGAGCTTAATTCTCCCCACCCCCTACCCCCTTGAGGGGAGGGGGAAGGCACTTAGTGACTTGATTCCAAGCAACAGAGTAGGTAAAAGGGGAACAGGGTCACCTTCAGTGAGGAAAGCTGGCAAACTGTACCTTGGCCAGGTGTTCAAGATTGATTTTACTGTCCCATCATGTGGATGGCATGTACCCCGACAAGATGTGAGAAGGGCACTTCACCTCTGCTGGCTTCCTCCAATAGCCCACAACCCCAGTGCAACCATAAAAAAAGCATCAGGGAAACCCAACTAGAGGGGCATTCTACAAAATACCTAACTAGAGCTCTTCAAATCTGTCAAAACTCCATGAGAAACAAGACTGGAAACTATCACAGACCAGAGGGATTAAGGAGACACAACAACCACTTGTGGTGCGGCATCCTAGATGAGAAAAAGGATATCAGTGGAAAAGCTAAGGAAATCTGAGTAAGATATAGACTTTAGTTAATAACAGCGTATCAGTATTGGTTCATTAATTGTGACAAATATACCATTGTAATGTCAGGTGCTAATGACAGGAGGAGCTGGCTGAGGGGTGTACAGGAACTCTGTACATTATCTTTGCAACTATTCTGTGAATAAAAAAACGTTTTAAAATTAAAAGCTTACTTTAAAAAAAGTTCAGCCTTAATGCCAAGAGCCGGGCCTTCATTCAGTCACTTTTATGGAGTGCCCACAAAGCGCTTCCAATCCTGCTGGGCACAAAGAAGACACTTAGACACATGGGAGATGAATAGATGCATATACACAGGCAAGGCATCCGGGGTGACGAAACGAAGAGCAGAGAATGCAGGTTTGCAGGTTGACTAGAGAGGGTAGGCGTGTGTGTGTGTGTGGGGGGGGGGGGGGGGGGGAGGGGGGGGGCAGAGCTGGTAATGAGAGAAAGCAATGACCAGAATGAGGAAAGAAGACAAAGACTGGCTGGCTTTGGTGAGGTGGAGCCAGCTATTCCCCACTGAAATGTAAGCTCCCCGAAGGCAAGAACCTTGTCCCTCTTCTCATACCCCTAGGAGCAGAACTGTGCCTGGAACACAGTAAATGTTCATAAATGTGTATTGAATAGATGAGAGACTAGATAAACAGACAAAGTCCTGCTGGAACTCCACTTGAACTCCAGAACCTCTACTGTCATGTGAGGTCTCCCAGGTGCCCACTGGATTTGCATTTTGTACATGGTGATGATTGTTCTGCATCATCAGAGGTCTTCTGGAAAGCATGCAGATGTTAGCATTGGTTTGGAATGGTTCTAATGTTCACCCACAGGCATGGAAGTGCCTTGGAGCATTTCTTGATGGTATTAACCGGTAGGTCTGCTGATACGAAGGAGTGAATGGCATCTCCTCTTTGCTCTGTTCTAGCGTCCTGTTAAACTCAGCAGGGGCCCCTAGAATTGTAAGAATGGAGAGTTAGCAGGGGCTTCAAGCTTTTGATACGGTCTCTACAAATATAAGGAAACAGTTTAGAGGGATGTTGAATTTCCCTGCAGGCATCTACTGACATTCCTCCTTAATGGTCCTAAATGCTCAATATATTCAGTTGCATGTAACTTTCTTTATGAAGAAAAATTCAAATTTGGGGGAAATTATGGAAAAATCATATCCAATTATGTAGCTATTAAGAATAGTGCAGACTATATGTATTAATATGAAATATTAAACATACAAAGTAAAGCTGTTTTCTGAAATAGACACAAGATACTGGTTGACAAAGGGGAGTTCTGTGAAGACAGCATGGGAGGGAGGAGACTTTTACCATACACGCTTGGAACCTTTTGCATTTTGCACGTGTACAAAGTATTACAAATGAAGAAAACTTAAAAAAAATTTATTTGGCCGAGTCAGGTCTTAGTTGCAGCACGCGGGATCTTCATTGCAGCGTGTGGGATCTTTCACCGCAGCACGCAGGCTTCTCTCTAGTTGTGGCGCGCGGGCTCCAGAGCACGCGGGCTCAGTAGTTGTGGCATGTGGGCTCTCTAGTTGTGGTGTGCGGGCTCTAGAGCATGCAGGCTCAGTAGTTGTGGCGCGTGGGCTCACTTGCCTGCAGCATGTGGGATCGTAGTTCCCTGACCAAGGATCAAACCCACATCCCCTGCATTGGAAGGCAGATTCTTAACTACTGGACCACCAGGGAAGTCCCGAAACTTTTAAAAATGATTCCAGAGGAAGAAAATTTTGAATTTTGTCTTCAGGTTATAATAATCTCCTTTTCTGATCTATGCTTGATTACCTTTGAGCCTCTGCTTTCTGCAGGATCTGACCCACGTCGGGTGACAGGCAGGCTATTCCACCTGTCTAGTCCTGGCTTTTAACATCATCTCAAATAAACTTTTACATGAAGTGACAGAAGTATGCTGATGGGATTGAAAGAGGAAGACATTCATCATAGTTTATGCGTTCAAAACTAGGAATTAATAATTAAAAAATAAGTCCTATAGTTATTTTGTAAACAGCATGCTTACATTATATTGCAGTTTTCTGTTAAAAAGCATTACGCTGGCTTTTTGGCTCTCTGAGCAGCACCACGGTGGTTGGCAAGAACAAGCACCTTACGAAAGTGGCAAAAAGGGAGCCAAGAAGAAAGTGGTTGACTCATTTTCTAAGAAAGATTGGTATGATGTGAAAGCACTAGCTATGTGTAAATATAAGAAATATTGGGAAAACACTAGTCACAAAAACTCAAGAAATCAAAATCACATCTGATGACCTTAAGGATTCTGGTTTTTTTGTTTTGTTTTTTTTTTGCAGTACGCGGGCCTCTCACTGTTGTGGCCTCTCCCGTTGCGGAGCACAGGCTCCGGACGCGCAGGCTCAGCGGCCATGGCTCACGGGCCCAGCCGCTCCGCGGCATGTGGGATCTTCCCGGACCGGGGCACGAACCCGTGTCTCCTGCATCCGCAGGCGGACTCTCAACCACTGCGTCACCAGGGAAGCCCCCGGATTCTGTTTTTGAAGTGAGCCTTGCTGATCTGCAGAATGATGAAGTTGCATTTAGAAAATTCAAGCTAATTACTGAAGATGTTCAGGGCAAAAAATTGCCTGATTTCCATGGCATGGATCTTACCTGTGAGAAAATGTGCTCCATGGTCAAAAAATGGCAGACCACGGTTGAAGCTCACATTGGTGTCAAGACTACCCATGGTTATTTGCTTCGTCTATTCTGTGTGGGTTTTACTAAAAAATGTAACAGTCAGATACGGAAGACCTCTTATGCCCAGCACCAACAGGTCTGCCAAATCCGGAAGAAGATGATGGAAACCATGACCCAAGAGGTGAAGACAAATGACTTGAAAGAAGTGGTCAATAAATTGATTCCAGACAGCATTGGAAAAGACATAGAAAAGGCTTGCCAGTCTACTTATCTGCTCTATGATGTCTTCGTTAGGAAAGTAAAAATGCTGAAGAAGCCCAAGTTTGAATTGGGAAAACTCATGGAGTGTCACATGGTGAAGGTAGTAGTTCTGGAAAAGCTTCTGCGGATAAGACAGGTGCTAAAGTCGAACGAGCTGGTGGATATGAGCCAGTAGTACACGAATCTGTTTAAAATTTACACTTTTAATGATGACAAATAAAAGATCTTATTTGTGAAAAAAAGCATTACTTTGCTAAATGTTAACATTTAAAAAGTATATCTAGACCATTAATAATGAATCATACTAATACCCTAAAAACACTTGTAGAAAAGATTGAGAAGTCCCTGTGAATCAACAAACAGTATTATCCCTCAAAAAAATAACTGATCAATAATTCACTATAGGGCTTCCCTGGTGGTGCAGTGGTTAAGAATCCGCCTGCCGGGCTTCCCTGGTGGCGCAGTGGTTGAGAGTCCGCCTGCCGATGCAGGGGACGCGGGTTCCTGTTCCGGTCCGGGAAGATCCCACATGCCGCCGAGCGGCTGGGCCCGTGAGCCATGGCCGCTGAGCCTGCGCGTCCGGAGCCTGTGCTCCGCAACGGGAGAGGCCACAACAGTGAGAGGCCCGCGTACCAAAAAAAAAAAAAAAAAAAAAAAAGAATCCGCCTGCCAATGCAGGAGACATGGGTTCGATCCCTGGTCCAGGTAGATCCCACATGCCGCGGGGCAACTAAGCCCATGCGCCACAACTACTGAGCCTGCGCTCTAGAGCCCGTGAGCCACAACTCCTGAAGCCCGTGCACCTAGAGCCTGTGCTCCACAACAAGAGAAGCCGCCACAATGAGAAGCCCACGCACCGCAATGAAGAGTAGCCCCTGCTCGCTGCAACCAGAGAAAAGCCCGCGTGCAGCAACGAAGACCCAACGCAGCCAAAAATAAAATAAAATTTAAATAATAATAATCACTACAGATAAATATTTCATCAAGATCACATTCTGCTTTTAAGCCATTTCGTTTTCTAATATTCCAAAACAATATGGTTTCAAATTCTGAAGACAACTCCTTTCTTAGTACTGAGAAAATTAATGTTTGAGATACACATGAGCATTTTGAGTTCTTTAAAACTAGAACACATTTGTGATAAGATGTATTTCAACCTTATTTCAGCTAACTTCAGAAGAAAGGGTGTTCAGTATTTCTCGCATAAATTCCATTACAAGGTTAGGCCAATGTAAAACATTTACATTCAGCTGCCATTGCAAAAAAAAAAAAAGCGTCCTGGAAGCAAAGATGGAAGGTCTAAGACAGCAGCAACCGCATCCCTGGGGTGTTTGTTGGAAATGCAGAACATCAGGCCCTGTCCCACCTCCTCTTCACAATCTGCATTTAAACAGGCAGTGATTCCCATGCTTGTCACAGTTCAAAAAGCTGCTGGGCTAAGAAACCTTAATTATGTTCAAATTCAGGTTATACTCTTTAGTGAACACTGGATATAATCTTTAGTAATAAGGACAATGTGACTTTTTTATTTTTTGAGACCAGAGAGTCACACTTATCAGAAATGACTGTAATTAATAATCACTGGTCCCACCCTCCTCCTCTTACTTGTGAAACATCCTTCCTCTTTTATGAGTCCACCCCCTCCACTTGCGCCAAGACCATCTATCACTCCTTCCTCCAGGATGACCACTGTCATTTTCCACTGATTCCTCCCCTTTCACCTATGATCACACTGAGGTCTCCCTGATGCATAAAACACACACACACACGCACATGCACACGCACACACACAGACACATTTTCTCTCCACCATGTTAACAGCTCAGCTACACCCTTTTTTTTCCCCATCACTAAATTTCTCAAGATTAGTCTGCATGCAACCTGACAGCTATCAGACCCGAATTAGCTCTCTTGAAGGTCCCAAGTATTTAACTGCCAAATCCAAAGGCCTGGTCCCTGTGACTTCCCTAGATCCCTCTGCAGGTTATGAATTCTTTCTCTGGCTCTATTGTCTCTGGCCCTACTTCCTCTTTTTGCCACCCAAGCAGGGGCATTCCCCTCAGCTTAGCCCAGGGTCTTCTCTTTCCACTCCATACCTTTGCTGTGTTCTTCCCTTCCTCCACTTGTTCCTGCTTCAAAGGTCACCTCCACACAGAAAACTTCCCAGACAGTATCTTCAGTCCTGGCCTCCCTCTAGAACTCTAATAGCCTCTTATTGTTTTCACTCATTTAATATTTATTGAGGGCCTATGACATGCCATTGCACTGTGCTAGGCATTGGTGAACAAAGAAGACTCATCCCTGCCCTCATGGTACTTACAGCCTATCAGGTACCACAGATGTGGATCAATGAATACAAGGGAGATAAATACTGAGGAAAAGTAAAGAGTGAGCTAGGGGAGAGAATAACCAAATCTAGCTGGAAAGCAGGGTTTCCAGTTAAAATACAAGATGTCCGGTTAAAGATAAATTTCAGATA